TCGTAGATCGGAAAACCAAAAAGAAACGCCGATCAAGACGATCGGCGAGAGAGAAAAAATCCGGATCAAGGGATTGGGAAAAAAGACTCTCTAGGGCAGTCGGTCAACACGATCGGCGGACGAACCCTATGTACGAGCGGCGCGGCCCCCGGCGGCGGTCATGGAGGCCGACCGCCCCAGGGGCGGCGCGCGGTGCGGAAGCGGCGGCGGATAGGGTTTGGTGATTAGTCTGATACCGTGTTAGAAGGGAGAGAGAGGATTTGTGGAATAGTTGTTGTATTGCTTGAGCCTCGTGGGCATATATATAGGAGTACATAATTTATTTGGAGTATAAGGCAAGCCAGAATATTTCCTAATCTAACCGATGTTTCCTAATACAATCACGTTACTCAACACTCTGAGATTGTTTTTACAAGAAGCACTTTTGATGGTTCACAATTGAGTGTTACAGCAACTACGTGTACTCTACTAAGAGTTTTAGCCCAGCCCATCGGTGAATAATTCCCTTTTAATCCGACTGATTATTGTGTTCTAACATACAAAGCTAGCTAGCTAGCACAAGCAGCTTGATTGATTGTACATACAAAGCTAGCTAGCTACTACAAGCAACTTGATTGATTGTTCACGGAATGGTTGCGTACTACTATTCCCTTAGATGGATCAGCGGCCACTTGCTGAATATACTCCATTAGATCGGTTCGCCGTCTGCACATGCATGGAATGTCTCGTGCTGCCATTACTCCCGACTCGGCGACCACCAATGAACCAAACTGCCAAAGGAAGGAAGTAGCAAGATATGTTCGATTACAATGTATAATTTCGTGTGGTTCACATCTGTTTTCATGCATATTTTACTTTCACTTTGAATGTTGCTACCTGACAACAAGGACGAGGAGGTGGGCGAGCAGACGACACCGAGGTGGACCCCGAGTCCGGTTACCGAGGTTTGTGTTGAGTACCATGGATGCTATATTTAGGTTGATGGTGCCTATGTTTCTTTGATGTTTTTGGCCCATCCCGCGAGAAACAATACTACTACCATTTGACAGATTATTATCCCAAGACAATTGCTACACACTATCACTTCCACTTCTCTTTGTATGTTTTTCCAAGACAATTTAACTTGTTCTCCTAACTACTATTCTATTCGTGCAGATTGGGTCAAGTTATTTTCCAATTTTATTTCCATAAATTATGAATTTCATTGTCATCTACACTAGATATTTATGAATAACGGGGTCTTCGTTTGATAGAATTGCATTGTTCATGGTTTTTTCTTTTTTTGAGTGCACAAATTTACATCAATATCATGATCTATGATACAATAGGCTACACTAAACCCTTTTTTTTTACCAATTTTAACATAGCAAATGCACCATTGTGCTTGTAATAATCCATGGGTTATGATTACGTTAACATTCAGCATATAGCCATCTTCCTTTGCATCCACATACCTTTAACTACTTGAAGTTGCATACGGTTTCCATAGTGGAGAATTGCAAGTTCCTTCTCCTAGCGACAATGAGGATAGCAGGAGCAGCAAGCCTCCGAAGCCCTTGGACCGACGCGACGTGAATCCTGAAGGATTTTAGTACAGCGGCAAAGAAGTTTTTTTCGAATTATAACTTTCAGTTGCTACTTGCTCTACTCTGCTTTTCATTAAAATTTTAGTATACAAACAAATTTTCTCTCCTGGTGCAACGCACGGGCATGTGTGCTAGTAAACTAAAAAAATGATGGAGTATGGGTCAAGACATAAAAACTAACGGAAAGCTTGTCACAGACGTAGTTCATTGTGACTTTTGCAACAACAAAAAAACTCGGACAACCCCGCCGCGCGCGCAAGCCACCATTGGGGTCCAATGCCGCCACCCACCTGCACCGCCGCCACGGAGGCGACCAACGCCAGCCACCTGCGCAGCTCGATCACCGTCGCCCCACCTACGTACCTTGCCTACCACCCCGCACGGGAGCGACCAGCGCATCCACCCTTGGGCCCAGCGCCACCGCCCACCTGCGCCGCTGCCATGAGGGCGACCACCGCCGCCCACCTGCGCCACGTAGGCGACCACCGCCGCCACTCGCAGGACCAGCCACTTCGTCCGTTTCGGCTGCCAGCGCCGCGGATTATTGTTGTACAGTCAACAGTGTCATTGTATGGTCTGATATACAGTGAACAGTCAAATATACAGTCAAGAGTGTTAAACAGTGACTGAATTTTTGCTAATGAATTAGTGAACACGAAAAAATACGGTTCTAAAAATTCCAAGATCTAATAAATCTACTTCTTGAGTATCCTACTGGGCATATATAGCAGAGGTTATTCAGAACCAAATTGTCATTGTGGTTTCAGTACATGAATTGAGTGATAGTGAGATCGAACAACCACAAGTGTCATTGTCATTGTGGTTTCAGCAAATAAAATTTCTGCTGGCTAATCGAACCAGCAAACAAATAATTGTCATTTTGCAATTAAAGTGAGATGAGAACAAGTGAAGTACTGAATGTGTTTGCATGATTCATTCAAGATTCATCCATATCATTGTCATTGTTATTGTCATTGAAGACCAGAAGGGCGTACCGTGAGATCATTCATGACGTCGCGTGAAAGCTGCTCCCTGTTTCTTGTTGTAGTGCCCATGTTGCTTGTTTATCTTTAACTTTCCTACTGCCTTTTATGTTTGTGGGTTTCAGAACTGTCTTTTGTAGCTGTAGTCATTTATCTGCTGAACTGCTTCTCTCAGTGAGTTGTTGTATGACATATTGGGTTTCGTTTGAGTAATGGAGCCGGGGAGAGGCCAACCTATTATTGTAAAAAGAATGAATGAAAAATGCGTGGAGGGTGTTTTGGCTCTCAGGTGCATTTGTTCCGAATAGTAAATTAAAAATTATGTTTGTAAAAAATAATTAAAATCTGTTTTTTAAGATGTTCGTGTTAGTGACGCAAACATGCTTGATAATTTTCATGAGAAACGGAGCAGCATCGTTTCATCGGTGAAAAACAAACAAATTTGGGTGTAACATTTGATGTTCAATTTTTTTCGCAGGCCAAAATGCTTAACCATTTTACGCAGCCATAATTTTTTTTCCGCAGGACAAATTTGGGTAGCATTGTGAATATATAAACACATCAAATTTTAGTTGATTTTTTTTGACATTTCAAAAATCATTTTTCGCACAGTGGGAGCGGAATCGGATTTCCAAAAAAGTGTTGAGTATCGAGTGAATCGATATAGCTCCGGGGATAGCGGCCGTGGAGCACTCCCGGACGGACCTGGCCATCTGGGCCGGCACGGCCCGACCCGCGCTTAAACAACGTAGCTGGCACGAAACGGCCCACGACGGCACGTGACGTGCCGGTCACGCGTGCTACTCGGTCGGCTCTCCTCACATAGCAGTGCCCCGAACCCCCCGACCGAATCCATCGCCCCTGAATCCTAAACCCTAGAACACACACAGCACACGAACGTTACAAGGCTCTCTCTTCCCGTCCTCTCTCGAAACTGCCTACAGAAGAGGGCAGGGCGAGATCCAGGAGTTCCTCTGTCCCCGTCGGCAAGACCGGTGGTCTCCTTCACCTCCGGTGGCCATTATGGCTGCCGGAGGGGTGGGAGATCCCGGATCTGATGCCTGGCGGTGTATATAGTCCTACATTTTCTAGGTTTGGTGTCCTTTGCACCGGCGTCATGGCGGAGGAGGCGTCGGTGTGCGGAATAAAGTGGCCCTGTCTCCTTCTTCGCTCGCCCGGCGTCGTTCTTGGCACTGGCGAGGAGCTGGGGTCCTTTTGGTCTCGCGGATCTGAGTGTTTACGATCCTGCGAGTTGGTCGTCGTCGTCGTCGGTCACCGCTGGGCTCTTTGGTGTGGCGAGACGGCGAGGGGGGTCGAGGATTCTGACCCATGGCGTTCGCGGCTTTGGCCCTGTGGAGCGGTGGTTGGGGCTTGTCCGCTTCTTCGGCTCCATGGGAAGATGCTTCTGGCGCTTCTTTTGTTGTGGATGCGGGAGGTGGCTACGACAGGGATGAAGGACTGGAGGTTGTTCATCGGCGATTGGTCTTTGAACCTGCTTCAGCGAAGCTGGCCGATGCGGATCCGGTGCGGCATGGGGCGTTGCTCCGGCCGCCTGGGCTTTTCAGCTCTGCTCAAGATCTCGCCTCTCGCGGCGGGCTACGATTGTGCGGCTCACAAAGCTTACAAGCGATGGTGCTTCTCCGGATCTGAAGGGGTTGGTCGCTTTTCTTCTCTCTCCGGCGGCGACGACGGCGAGATGGGGGTAGCAGCGGCTGTGTGGTTGAGTTGAATTTGGTGTTCTTCCGTATCCTGCGTGGATGTACTCGTATCTACTGTATGTCTCCTTGTAATGTTTTCCTTAACATAATATAATCACGAGTATTTCCCTCAAAAAAAAGAATCCTAAACCCTAGAGCTGAACAGCGGCTCCGCCACCTCTCGCCTGCGCTCCGCCGCTCGCTCGCCGTTGCCTGCGCTCCGCCGCTCGCTCGCCGTCGCCTGCGCTCCGCCGCTCGCTCGCCCTCGCCCTCGCCTGCGCTCCGCCGCTCACCTGCGGGTACGGTGCCCCCAAACTCCGTGGAAGATGGCGCTAGCAATCTTGATGGAAGCCATTGATGCGCGCGCGCGGGAGCTGGGGATCGACCTCGACTCCGTCGACGTCGACTCCATCACCCTCCCGCCCGGCGAGGACTTCGACATCCTCAGGTATCATCCATCATCTTCCCAGCCCCGCCACCTCCTTCCCACAAGCAGCCAAAGTAGGTAGGAGTCGCGTGTTTGTTGACTTTGTGATTCATGTTGCCGTTCGATCATTGTAGCGACGACGAGGATTTACTTCAGAATGAAGACATTCCAGAGCTCGAGATAGGTTTTGCAAACATTATTGTGGTGGACAATCTGCCGGTTGTTCCCCGAGAGAAGTACGAGAAGCTGGAGAATGTTTTGCGAAAGATATATGGTCAGCTTGGCGTGAAAGGAAGGTGGGCTTTGGATGCCTACGGACCCAGAGACCAAGAAGACCCAGGGCTACTGCTTCATTGAGTTCAATACTCCGCAGGTATGTTGCTTCTTGTAAGTTATGTTTATTTATACATACATATCTGCATGATGGAATGAGGCAATGGCTTGATTCTGTTACCTTTGCAAGTCATGTGCATTCCTACGATGAAAAAGGTCATCCCTATTCCATTTGAACTCTCTATCCTGTTTAACTTTTGTATGTGGATCGGAAGAAGATAATCAGCTGAGTGGAAACATGCATGGAAACACCTTTGTTTTGGTAGAGTTTGTTCTATTGCTTATTGTTGGGATTTTTCTGTAGCAAGACTTTGTACTTTTAGTTTTACTGGATTATTGCTAGTATGTGATAGTGTTCTATTGTTATGACCAACAACAACAACAAAGCCTTTAGTCCCAAACAAGTTGGGGTAGGCTAGAGGTGAAACCCATAAAATCTCGCAACCAACTCATGGCTCTGGCACATGGATAGCAAGCTTCCACGCACCCCTGTCCATAGCTAGCTCTTTGGTGATACTTTTGGGTTTCATCTCCATAAGAGTGGCTGAGTTTTTACGTTGGCTCGCCAAGCCTATCACAACCCTCCTCCTTTACTCGGGCTTGGGACCGGCTATGTTGAGACAACATAGGCGGAGTTGTTCTATTGTTATGACCAAATTAATTAAATGCCCATCCGAATTTAACTCCACTTTTGCTTTCATAAATTGTTTTGCATTCTGTTATCATGACCCTCTTGGTTGATTGAAAGAGACTTATTTGACAGTGTGTCAGGAAGCTGAGTTTGCTATGGAAAAAACACGTGGCTACAAACTGGACAAATCTCACATATTTGCTGTTAATATGTTTGATGACTTTGAGAAGTACATGAAAGTTCCTGATGAGTGGGCGCCTGCTGAAATCAAGTCATACACTCCTGGAGTGCATACTCTCTACCACCCAGCACACACACACATGTTTGTTTCTTTAAATTACTAGAGGTTTTATGTAACTTGACTGTTATATATGTGTGTTGCAGGAAAATCTTCTGAAGTTGCTGACTGATGATAAGGCCAGAGATCAGTTCGTGATACGTGCTGGTACGTTCACGGAAGTGTACTGGAATGACGCTAGACGGGCAATGCCTGAGCTTGTGTACCAGAAGCAGGTGCTTCATTTTTTAATTTAACTTTTGCCTTTTCTTAACAGACCTTTTGCTTTTTAGTTTTATTGGAAAATGGAAACTAAAGGTCATGGAGGCCTATTCCTATATCCTATAAGGAGAACTAATTTTCATGCATATCCTATATCCTTCTTCTTTGACAGTACTGGACGGATAGCTATATTCAATGGTCCCCTCTTGGAACACACTTGGCGACCGTGCATAGGCAGGGCGCGCAGGTGTGGGGTGGTGATGACAAATTTGTTCGTCTAATGCGCTTTGCTCATCCACAGGTACTGGTTTGTGCTAACAGTAAATATATGCAATATGCATTGTCCTTTTAGCTGACAGCTACCTGTCACAGTTGAAACTCATCGATTTCTCTCCCGGTGAGAAATATTTGATCACTTACAGCAGCCATGAGCCCAGCAACCCCAGAGATACACATGTAAGTGAATGTGACAAGACTTCTTTCTGTTCATATCTTGTCTCCTATCTGACTTGCAATGTTATACTTGTAGAGGGTTGTACTAAATATCTTTGATGTACGAACTGGAAAAGTAATGTGGGAGTTCAAGGGAAGTGCTGATGATTTCACTACTGGTGGAAATATGGGTGTCTCTGGTGTTTCATGGCCTATCTTCAGGTGAACCCACTACTTTTGTACTTCGAAGTGAATGCACAACTTATTAGGTTGTCATGGTTTGATGCTTAGTATGTTTTTATTTATGTGTTTTTTGAAGGTGGGGTGGTGGAAGAGATGATAAGTATTTTGCTAGGCTTGGAAAGAATGTTATATCTGTCTATGATACCGAGACGTTCGCTCTTATTGATAAGAAGTCCTTGAAGGTAGAAAATGTGGTTGACTTCAGTTGGTCTCCCACTGATCCTATCATATCACTCTTTGTGCCTGAATTGGGTGGTGGAAATCAGCCTGCCAGGGTAAGTACAAATTGCTACAGCTACCTCTTTTAAGATGTTTGTTCAGTTAGCATCGAATGCTAAAATATGTGTTTTGTGTTGAAAGGTCAGTCTTGTGCCAATTCCGGGTAAAGAGGAGATTCGGCAGAAAAACCTTTTCAGTGTTAGCGACTGCAAAATGTACTGGCAAAACAATGGAGAATATCTGGCTCTCCAGGTAGATAGGTACACAAAAACAAAGAAGAGCATTTACACTGGGTTCGAGCTGTTCAGAATCAAGGAATGAGACATCCCAATTGAGGTCTTTGAATTGGACAACAAGAATGACAAGATAATTGCCTTTGCATGGGAGCCTAAAGGTCGCCGCTTTGCTGTTATTCATGGTGATGGGCCTAAGCCTGATATAAGTTTCTACACCATGAAAGCAGTCAACAATAATGTTAGTCGTGTGTCCAAGCTCACCACACTCAAGGGCAAGCAGTCCAATGCATTGTTCTGGTCTCCTGCTGGCCGTTTCATTGTTCTGGCAGGGCTGATGGGTTTCAATGGCCAGCTGGAGTTCTTCAACGTTGATGATCTTGAGCCCATGGCGACAGGAGAACATTTTATGGCGACTGACATCATGTGGGATCCTACTGGAAGGTGAGCTTATCGCTTAATTGAAAATTTTCTTCTCGTCGCTATCTGGTGATATTTACAAAACAAGTGTTACAGCAATATAATAAACATATACTGAATAGGTTACAGGAATTATCACACCCTGAACACTACGAACATAGAGGCTCAGCTGAAATTTGTAATTGTCTTCATCTGTTAAAACAACACTCGCCCTCAAATTGCATGGACTTAGTAGTTGAAATTAACAAATAGTAATAATAGTGTGTTTCATTTACCATGGATTGATTTCCTTGTTATTCAGTCGAAGCAAAATGTGTTTTTGGTTTACCACGGAGGAACTAAGATGGTTTTGTAACTTGCTTGTTCAGATATCTCGCAACTGCAGTTACCTCGGTTCATGAGATGGAAAATGGTTTCCAAATCTGGTCCTTCAATGGCAAGCAAATTTACAACGTCTCAAAGGATCACTTCTATCAGGTAGAGCTTCCATCCATCATCCTTTGTTGTTTGAATCAACGCATGGCTGCATCCCTCTTCAGTACTAATGTCTTGCCCTTTGCACGATATGGTACAGTTCCAATGGCGCCCAAGGCCACCGTCGCTACTTACTCCCGAGAAGGAGGAGGACATCTCAAAGAACCTCAAGCGGTACAGCAAGAAGTACGAACACGAGGATCAGGACGTGCACCACCTTTTGGACGAGGAGGAGCGCAAGAGACGGATGCGGCTTCAAGAGGTGTGGAAGCATGGGTCGCCAAGTGGAAGCAGCTGCACGAGGAGGAGCGAGCATTCAGGATGCAGCTCAGAGGCGCGGAGGACAGCGACAAGGAAGAAGAGGCTGAATACAAGGAGATTGAGGCGGAGGAGCTGGTTGATGTCACAGAAAAAACCGTTGCCTTTGACCTGGATCAGGAGTGAAAGCTGCTGAGTGTTCGTTTCCTGCCTGTCGTGTGAATTGCTGTCGTTTTGCCTTAGACCAAGCTCGTAGTTTGTTAATCTTTCTAGTAGTGCACTTATAATAAATTCATCGATTTTTGTGGGCTAGCTGTACTGGAATCACTTCTCTATTATCGTCGGATTTTGCACATCAGACAGACAGGGAGAGATGAAAATAATCAAACGGTTAAGCAACCAAGCACCCCAATGTTTGAATCATAACACAATGCTGAAATGCTAATTTAATCCTTAAACCAGTTAAATACAACAGCATTTTTAGATACAATATCTATAACTGAGAAAAAAAATAATGGATTGCGGTTGTCTCTAAAAATCTTCACTGCTGTCACTAATTTTTAGTTTTTGATTTGGCTTGTACTTCAAATTTAATTTGACGAAATAAAATACCATGCCCGTTAAAGACTAATAATGCATCACCAATTGTTATCAATTGTCTGCGGACAGCCGGCGTGGGTGGAGCAGTGGAGGCCCTCCAACCATTATCATCAAATTTCCAACCCATTTGAAACGAACCGAACGCAGCTAAACAGATGAAATTTAACAAAGTTTGAAATATTTACAACCAAACAAATGAAATTTAACAAGTTCAAACTAAACTGAAATTAAAAGCTAACTAAACTAGGCCAGGTATCGGAAGGTGACTTCCTAGGCATGGCCAACGACATCTCCGGCGTCATCCGCGCTAGTCGTTGTTATCTTGCCCGGCCATCGCCGCGCGTTCGTGGTGTAGATGCTCTGTTGCATCCTCCACTCCTTTGCGTCGCTTGTCTTCGGCGACTCGGATGAAGAGGCGCAGTCGGACTACGCCGGACCCACCTTTGAGGAGCTGGTCATTGAGCCGACGTCAACAGCGGGCGTCCAACTACTCGGTGGTTTTGGACCGGTCGATGGCGCAAGCCTTCGCGAGCACCATGCTAGCGCCACCTGGTTCTTGATGAACGCCCCATGCGCGCCTTTGCCACAATTTTGGACTGGACGAGGAGGCGCTCTCGGACCCACGCCATAGTAGTAGAGGTGCGGGGATGTGTCTTGGTAGTCGGTCTCTTCTGGCATGTTCGAGGGGTCATCATGCCTCACTTTGTCCTTCTGAAATCGGAGTTGCTGAGGATGGGCCCTTGTGATGCCGATGACATGCGACAAGTGGTCGATTGCGGCGCTGGCTCAGCACAAGCCCAGCGCTTTCATACTACAATGCCCGTCGACATAGTCGGCGTGTAGTTGACTGTTCGGTATCGACCGACGCAGGCCTCGGCACTTGCTTGCGATGAGGGTTAACATCGGTGGCCGTCGATGGTGGAGTCGGAGTCGCCCTCGCAGAGGAGTGTTGACGATGACGCCGGGTTGCAACCTCGACGACGTCTTCTCCTCGACGGCGTGTGTGCCCTTGTGTGGGTCGTGAGGTTGCCATGTGTGCATTGTTTTTCAGGTATGATGTGCCATGTGCCGGTTTTGTCAGGTTTTTTGTTAATTAATCGGGCAATTCTCTTCGATCATTTCTAATGAAACTCGGTTCAAATTTTTGACCACCATAGCAAGAGCGGAAAAGCATGGCGCCGGAGAGGACAGTAGAGGAATAGGATGCACTGCGTCACAACTTCAACTATACAAGAAATACGAGGTGGACCAGGAATACAAATATACATGCATTATATACTCAACAAGGACGACGAAACAAGGCAAATACCCCAGAAAGGGCAGCAATGCAGGAAGGAGTGGCAACCAACGGCTTAGCAAAGCTACGAAATCGACCGCTGACCTTCAGAAACGTCGCTTTGATCTCCCGGGGACACCGGTGGCTCAAGATCGCAACAACGCGGCCCGACCCCGGCGAGATGCGTTCGCGGTTCAGGAGCACAAACTCGCACAAACTCCTAGCACAACACACTCACCGGGACAGCTGGAGATCATGGCAGAGAAGGTGGAAGCACCCCGGGCGGAAGTGCTCCTGGAGGTGGAAGGCAGGCGTCGCCACCAAGGAGATGACGGCAATCTCCGATTCCGAACACCACGCCTGCTGTACACACAGACGTTGTTCAAGTCTCTGAAGCTCTCAAAAGATGCAAGCTATTTCATTATGTTTCCTCCAACACCAATCCAGACAAACTATGTGATATTTCGTTTTATGCTGCAAAAAGGAAAAAACATGCTATTTGAAGATGATGCTCTTCAAAACATACATACTGCCATTGATTTCAACATCATGTCTTCAATCTAATCAACAAAAGTACCACCGCTTGTTCATGCTGAACATATTCATCAGCATTCAAAAAAGAAGTTTCCATCCCATGCAAGACAATGAAACAAAGTCTATCCATCCATCCACAAAACAGATAACACGAGAGGTCTAAAAAAGACTAGCCATCCATCCACAAAACAGATAACACGACAGGTCTAAAAGGAGACTATCCATCCACAGTAGAAGACCTTCTCCTGGACACGGGTTTTTAAGAGAGACAAGTGCAGGCCGCCTTCCTTCTCCTGGAGGCCTGAAGAACACACATCACGAAACACAGACACGGGTTAGCAACATAAAAATATTCATATGCAACATAATAACAAGAGCAGATTTGGCTAACTAGGCTATGAATTAAGAGAATCCAAACAGATGGAACCGCTTATACGGGAAATGAGTATCCACAGCAAATATCAGGCAGAGGACAATGCAAAATATGGCATAAAACATACGTGGAACAAACAGTTAGCTTATTCCGGACATCGGATGAGCATACAGAAAAAAAAGACCAGATTATGAGCAATACCTGAAAAGCCTATTGCTGTCTGATGGACACCCGGACTCTAAAATAAACTCAACCATTGATCAAAAACAAGTTGTTCTCATCAAGAAGCTCAGCCCAGGGTGTTAATAATAAATCAGCAACTCCAAACTTGTTATCCGGAAGGAAGGGGCTGTCAAATGAAAACTTGTCCACATAGCCGCCACCAGGTTTTTGCCTTACTGAGAACGTCACAGACAAGACTTCAGGCTGAGTTGACTTCTGAGCACACAAAAACATCCCAAATGCACTTGGAGCATTGGATACCGCATCTATAGTAGTTTGGCACTGCACAAAGAGTCTGTAGCCGCCATAGGCAAAAACCTCAGTATATGTACTCCTCCACGCAGGATTACTCATCCGGGCAAAGTCGGCCAGAGGAAGATCAAAATAGGCCAACAATTCGTTGTATGGCAGAAGGTTCGTCAAAATGACTGGCCTAATCAGATAATTCCGCTGGGCATAATTCCAATGAGCTACCTTCACTGTCGAACAATTGATCTTGAACAAGAATGCACTAGAAATAATTGACTTGACATCAACTTTGTTAGGCATCAGAGGGCAATTTGAGAAGGCCATTAGGCGGTCGATCGTCATGTGCATAAATCGAATAAGGAACACCAACGCTTTGCTAAAAACGGTACACCTCATGTGCTCATCTTCATATTTTTTCTTGACCCAATCCACCAGAAAAAGGTAAACATAATCTTCATTTGGAACAATTAAATCACTGCTTCTGAAAATTTCTAAGATAGCTGAAAGAGGCAACTCTAGAAGATCGTCCTTATGGCTGAAAAACAAAGTGAAGGATCAGAACTAACTATTGATGATAAAGATCATAGGTAAAGCATCCAAAAACAACAGAAAAATTATTAACAAACAAACGGCGACCAATGCTCATATTGTTACCACCATGTAATGTTTGCTGACTCTGTAATCTAAGCATTACAAAGTTGTTTCATGTGAACTATAGTGGCCAAATAAATATCACTAAAAAGCCCACAAAACTACATCAAAAGATGAGTTCACCTTCGGTATTTAAATGGCAAAAGAACAGCCAACAAAATAGCTAATGCTTTCAAACAGCAAACAAAAAATGGCATGGCAAACAGCACTCGATAAACAAAATAGTGGTTTAAAGGAATCACTGCTATTACAATCAACCATGATAGTACTGCCTCTGTAACTAAATATAAGACAGAGGTAGAACTAAATAGAGACCTACAAATATACACCGCCTAATCCAATACAAAATGTGACCATCAGACAAAACATAACCAGCAAAAAAAGGTGCTAAAACTGTAGAACAATAAAATAAACATAAGAGTAAGAAGCAGGGAACCTGAAAAGGCTTAGGTATTTAAGTATGATACGAATTAGGGTGATGCAACATCAAAAGCAAAACCAAATTCTAAACAAACTAATAAAATTTTGAACTGGGCACCAATCAAATTCAATAAAAAAAATGGAAGTCTGTTTGATCAAATACCTAAACACGTTCTTGAACATTTGAGTCAGAAATCGACCAGAAGCAGCTCTCACTGGGGCCAAAGCTTGAGCTACAGTAGCATTAGCTGGAGAAAACTCCAGATAAAGTACAGCTGCCTCAAGATTCAATTCCGATTCAAGCATAAACTCTATGGACTGTTTCATTGCTTGATTGACCTCAAATTTGTCAGCAGCCATGACAACGCTCAACAAGCTCTTTGGATCCAATTTACTGAACTTGGCCTTGTAAATGAAATTTATAATATCTTCAAAAGGCTCCAATTCTGAAATTTTTTTGAACATTGTATGAAACAAAATTAAGGTTTGAACTCAATTGACCAACTGTAGAAACAATTAATAATTTTGAAAGCTGTGACTTCTAAATTCAAATACCTTCCTCAGATAATTGTTGATGGACAACACGATCCACAGATTCTCTCATGCCATTTGAGAAAAGCTGAAACAGGCAAAAAGATTTAAGCAAGACAGAAAATAAGCAATAATGCGCACATATGGGCATAATATGGCTGTAAAGGAAATGATCATTTATACCTTTACGGAAATAGATGCTTTCCGAAGCCAGCAGGATTGATGAAACTTTAAGTTTAATATCTTTTGTCATGATGATTATTGGGTCCACATTTTCATTGTTGTCATCTGAATCATCTGGATCATGATCTGAGAAGGGAAGAACATGTCCCAAAAAATTAAAAACATAACAAGTTAAAAGCAATGACACTATGATACTGAAGAAATGAAGTATCGAACATTCTTAGACATTCACCTGTGCCAGTCTGTTTAGTGATTCCCTCCTTTTCCAGCTCCTGCCCACATAATAATGGAGGAATAAATGAGAACTAAAAATTGCAAAGTAATCAAACAATCATTAACAATACAGTATAGATTGTGAACATACACAGAAACGCACATCAAAAATCAAACGTACATCTTGATCAGTGACAATAATACTCATTGGTTACACCTATTGAATGCTAACCTTATTATACAAGACAAGTAGATGAATGCTAACCTTATTACATAATGTCACTGAAGATTCATCTAAACTAGCATCCTCTGCATTCAAATAACATTGAATATATTAATGGATTTAGGAAATGAGAGCCTTAATTTAGCTAGAGGGGAGACAATATACCAACTCGTGCCCTCTTCCTGGAGACCGGAAGGATAGAGTTAGGATCCACATTTTCATTGTTGTTTACATTCAAATCTGAATCATCTGGATCATGATCTGAGAAGGGAAGAACATGTCCCAAAAAATTAAAAACATAACAAGTTAAAAGCAATGACACTATGATACTGAAGCAATGAAGTATCGAACATTCTTAGACATTCACCTGTGCCAGTCTGTTTAGTGATTCCCTCCTTTTCCAGCTCCTGCCCACATAATAACGGAGGAATAAATGAGAACTAAAAATTGCAAAGTAATCAAACAATCATTAACAATACAGTATAGATTGTGAACATACACAGAAACGCACATCAAAAATCAAACGTACATCTTGATCAGTGACAATAATACTCATTGGTTACACCTATTGAATGCTAACCTTATTATACAAGACAAGTAGATGAATGCTAACCTTATTATATAATGTCACTGAAGATTCATCTAAACTAGCATCCTCTGCATTCAAATAACATTGAATATATTAATGGATTTAGGAAATGAGAGCCTTAATTTAGCTAGAGGGGAGACAATATACCAACTCGTGCCCTCTTCCTGGAGACCGGAAGGATAGAGTTAGGACCAAGGCTGGCATCAAGGTTGGCGGCAGCGGGTTTGGGAGCAGGTCTAGGTGCAACGACTTCCAAACGGAGGACCTTGTCGCAGAAGCTATCATCCTGATATGCAAACTCAAATTTTCCCATCGCAGAGGCATCAACGGTCAATGCCATTTCCTGAGGAACAAGATCAAAAGATAACAGGTTTGAAAGAGCATAAGCTAAAGACCTCAATCCAATAGACTCAGACAAGAACAAAAGATTACAGGTTCAACATGCTAATCTTTTCACATCTAGGTTATAGAGAAATCTAACATATCTTTAGCATAATGCAATGCAATGTAAGGACGGTCTGAAAATGAAAAGATAGGATTGCCAATACTAAAGGTCCTTCAGTACTACTATCCATATGCCTACTTAGCATAAGTATGGAAGATTCATCTCAGTCAGAGAACACAAGGGAATTCTTCAAAATCACTTATGCAGATTTAAGCAATCTCAATTTCAAACATAAATCCTAGCTACTAATCATTTTTGCAGAAAATAACATGTGCCTAGCCACTGCAACTACGTATGCAACACGCAAGAAATCAACATAAATCCTAGCTAGCAAGAAATTGCACAGCCGCTGCTACAGCCTACAGCCAAAACAGGACGCAAGAAATTGCACAGCCCCTACAGCTACCTGTGCTTGGACAGCAAGCTCAAGGCACAGCAGGAGCGGGAGGAATGCCGGGCGGCGGTGGGGACGGTCGGGGACGGGCGGACCGTAGCTCTGCTCTGGCTGGGTCGACCCGTGTGATCCATCGGGTCGCACGGTGCCGGCTCCACTGACCCGTGTATTGATTAAGGCCAACCCGCCTGGCCCATTGGCCTCGAGATTTTGGGCCGGGTCAGCACATTCCCATCGCGACTAAAAACAGCAGATCTGTACCAGATGGCGCGACGAAATCCGACCAGATCGGGACGAAACCCTAAACCCTAATCGCGACGAAATCCGACCAGATCGGGACGAAACCCTAAACCCTACTCGCAACGAAATCCGACCAGATCGGGACGAAACCCTAAACCCTAATCGCGACGAAATTCGACCAGATCGGAAGGAGAGGAGGGACGAAATCCGACCAGATCGGGACGAAACCGTAAACCCTAATCGCGACGAAATTCGACCAGATCGGAAAGAAACCCTAAACCCGAATCTAATCGGATGGAGAGGAGGGAATTGGAAACTTACGATGAGTGAAAGTCCTTGCCGGCGGCCGGGGGGGCTTGCGAGGCGCCGGAGTTCCGGCGGACGCGAGGGGCGGTACAGCGGCCGCAGGAGAGGGAGACGGTGGGGGTTTGCGGGGGATAGCGGATGTGAGTAGTAGGATATCGACAAGGGCGCGGGCCATCGGCCTGTGTATCTGTGGGCTAGGCCTCTTAGTAGCACTAAAAAGCCCAACTAAGAAGCCCAGGGCGCGGGCCATTGGCCTGTGGATCTGTGGGCTAGGCCTCTTAGTAGCACTAAAAAGCCCAACTAAGAAGCCCAACGTCGTCTTCTGATGTTTTTCCCTGTTTGTTATTTATGAATGATGAAGAACAGACCATAGTTATTATATATAAAACAAAAAGGATCTAGAAAGCTAAATTATACGGGGAAAAACCTACATCTGATGAGGCTTCCTCTTCTCTTCAAAACTTCGTCAGAAGATCGAACGAGCGATTTCTCTTTCTCTCCTTGAAAGAAGGAGAAATCAGCCAGCGGCTCATGCTGACTGGTTCCTTCCGTGTGCACGAGACAAAGGAAAACTCGAACAAACATGGGGCCTGACTGAAAGAGCGATGAGTTGGACACGTCGACTGCCATTGCTGAGGGAGGAAGAATAACTTCTTGGACTGCTGCTAGAGGGGAGGAAGAAGAACAGGGGGGCGCAAGGCCAAGCCTACATGGATGGTCCTCATTATATAGCCAGCCGAACGGTGGACACGCGTCCAACGAGTCCAGCCTACCGGCCGCTCCCGACAACCGTGGTCCGCCCGGGAATCAATCAACGGTTTTTAATAGGAAAGCGGTGATCTCGACGTTTCCTTTGCATGCTCCACGGGTATCGTCCCGTTCACGGCTTGCCTTTTCCACGACTAAATAATGGGCGCGCCAGTTTTTGGACACATGGTATGGGGCTACCACGAGACAATTACAGGTGGGACGCACCGAGTGTCGCGATCAATCAAGAACGGACGGCACGTCACCGATCCGCGAAGAAAAGCTGTGATTGGAGGATCAGTTACTGGCATCTCATGTGTGCTTTCTTCAAATAAGAAAATTTTACTTGAAAATTTGATTTGCAGCTCTTTTTTCAAACTTGGTAAACGGGATGGATGCTGGTGGCCTCACCGCCTCCACCTCTTGATTGTCTAGCCACCACTACACGTTCCAATATTTGATCCGAGTTAGATGAACGCTCATGTAAGAAATATTAGGGCACCGATGTGCCGCACAACAAAAAGGGGACTAGCAATCAGGACTAAATGCATCCCTTTTAGTCCCGGTCGTGTTATAAACCGGGACTAAAGGGCTCCACGTGGCCGCTGCGCTGCAGCACCATCTGTCGCAACCACGCCAAAAATCTCCGTATCTTCATTGTGTTTCCACACTTCAATCCCATCCCTTTACTTTCTTTTTTTTTGCATTCGCTCTCGTGTCGCTCCCGCGAGCGGCTCGGGAGCAAACCCTAGCCGCCGCCAGCACCCCACCCACCCTCCCCTCCTCCCCTCGCCACCACCGACGGAGGTCGTCGGGCGAAGCCCGCGCGGCTCGGCGGCGGCGGGGCCCTCTTCCTCCTCCGTCCGGGGCTGGCTGGCGCGGGCCGGTGGCATCGGGGGGAGCTCGAGCGGTGGTGCACGCTCGGGGCGGCGCTTCTGGCCGCCGAGGACGCGCACGGAGGCGCACGGGGCCT